CACTGGTGCCACGTCGTACCAAGGCCTGACAATAGCCATTAATGGACTGCTACTGCGATTACATTTGCTGACACTTCTCTGATCTTTTCAGCTGCTCATCGTGTTCGGTCGTGTTTCAGCAGCTGCAGGCGATGGAGAACGAGCTGGACGCTGATGACCAGCAGCTGCTGTGAAGTCCTCTGACCTGAACCTCCATGCAGGCTGCCACCATCCAAATGCCAAATGGGATCTCAAAGGGACATAAAATGCTCTGTGTCTTCAACAGGACTGGAACAGACCTAATCATCAGGTAGACCAAAGAGTGTGTGTGTGTGTGTATATATATATATATATATATATATATATATATATTTCCCAGTAACTTCCTTCTGCTCCACCATAATTCAAAGACAAAATCATTTTTTAGTATTTAAAACTGCCCAATTAATTGTTCCTCAGCTGGGACATTATTCCGCTCCAATTGCACTGCTCCAAAAAAAAACAAACCTAAAACCAACTCTTTTACAATATAATTTGTATGTATATAGTCGTAGGTAGCCTCCTACTCTATGACACAAGCACTTTGTTCACTGCACCTATAAAATAACACAATGGCTTCAGAGATTGATTCATACTTCCAACCTGCTCAGGACCGTGAGAACCAGTTTGGCAACTGAATCACTCAACAGCCAATGGAGCACTCATTGCAATGGCTGATCATGGTGGTGGATCATGATAGCAGCTGATCATGGACTATGATTACAACCAGACTGCTTCATATACCAGCAATAACCGCTCCCTTTATTTCTATCAGACATTTTTTTATGTATAAATACTTTAAACATTGACACACTTCTCCATTATGTTACACATAATGTTGTGAATATTGTTTTTTTGTTGATGTGTTCCTGTTAACACAAGTTTATTTTAGTATTTTTAACTCACTCTTGTTGAGGGTTAAGAACAGAGGATGTTGCACCTTGTTAAGCCCTTTGAGTCAAATTGTGATTTGTGAATATGATATAATTTGATTGATTGATGATGACTTCTGTTAAACCAAATATAATTATGTTAAAAATTAGCAATAAATATATCCTGTGGTGAAAGTAACTTGATCTGGTTATTGGTTTTATGTGTATTGGTCTGTGATCATGTTTTGTTATTGTGGTAAATTGTGCTGCTGGTCATGTTGTAATTAACTCTGGTACCAGGGCCCAAGATGCAGAGCTCAGACAAGGAATAATAACTGAACCAATACAATGTATTGTAAAAAAACTGAAACTAAAAAAATAGACGCTGACCACAGGAGAGATTAATTAAGGAAAAAATCCCAAACTTTCCAAAAAAGCAAAGGCAAAAACCAGTCAGGAGCTTGAGTACTGTGTGGCTAAATGGAGGAAGACTGAAATGAAGCAGGCTTGATGATGAGGAGGGAAGACTCAGGAAGGAGGAGGGTGATAGGACAGCTGCACCCTGAAAAACAAACTCAGAAGACAGAGGGAAGGGAAAAGACACCAGCCAGGAGAGGGGAGAGAGACAAAATGCCAGATCCTAACACATTGTTGTCTTGCAGTTGTCTGTCTGTATGCTGTATGAGACACAACACTTGTCTGGAAGGACAAAATAAACATCTATCAATCTGGTATATTAGCAATTCTGCCACTCTTGTAGGACCACCTCATTACTGAATTGTCAGATATTATATTTTTGTCAACAGCTCCTTGCTGAGCAAACAAGTCTTACCAGAATAAGACAATATGTTTTTTTGTTTTTTTTAATTAATTTATTAATGATTGTAACAGTTCTAACAATAAGTAAAGAGTCACATGGTTTAGTATTGGATTTGTTGAATTGAAAATTCCTCCATGAAAATATTGTGTACTTTAAATTAATTTGTGCATGTAATCTATGTCATTGTTGTGATTCTTGTGAAAACTAAAGCTCTTTGTGATCCATTATTTAACTCTGGCATTTATTCACTGAATAATGTACGGCTGCTGACTCTCACCACCTTTTTGTCCAGGGTTCGTCCAGATTGGTTTTCATTTGACGGGTGTAATTATAGTTCTCTTGCTATTCACACTTACATAGCGACTGTATAATTAGAAATGAGCGTCTGTAAGTTTTACTACTTTTCGTAGGAAAAGCTTGGACCTGGGACATCACGGCCCTGCTGCTAAGCCCCCAGCATCCATGCTGCGACAACCCACTAATGACTACTGGCTCAACATGCACTGTCATAAGAGAGACGGACAATTTAAAAAAAAAAAAGCCCCACTGTGGTCATCTTTTGCTAGATGTCCTCCTGTGTTTTGGCATACTCTGTGTGTAGGAGTTCTACATGCGTGTACATTGGCAAATGGACTTTCTTGTGTTGCAGTTACCAATGCGTAGCCTCTTGGACCCAGATGACTAAAAATCTTCACACGTAACACTCTGTGGTTTAGTATCTTGGGTGTTAACAGATGAGCTCACCTTTGCTGTGCTTATGTTATCACTAATGGATAACAAACAACAAACAGATGTCTTTTCAAACAGTTCAATTGTAAGAATTAAACAATGAATGTTATTTTAGTTTCCATATCACCAGTTTTCTCTTTTCAAAATTTGATGGTGTGCATCAACTTATTGGGAATTTTGCTAAATCAGCATCCAATGAATAATTAATGCAAAGCAGACATCCAGTATGCTTAAAGAAGATTAATATACAATCCTGTTCTACATCTATAATACATACATCCTTACCCGAGTCAGACCGACAATAAGACCATAGCATGAGCAGTATTACGAACCAGTGCCACTGACCTCCAGGTTAACTCGGGTTACATCTGGATGACGCTCATTTGTCATCAGTAGAATTCAAAACAATGACAGTCACGTCTGACATCATTTGTTATTTATTGACCAATATGGCTGAGCAGCTTTCAACTTATTACTGTTTATATCCATGGTTCCTCAAACAGGGCATTTTAGTGATGTTGTTATATTTTCCTATAATGAACCTTGGATACAAGTTGTACCTGAAGCTCTTAACTGAAAGTGCAGGATAATAAAAGTGCAGGATAACAACAGTCAACACTAGTTTGTGAAAAGTCTCTGGAAAGACCTTAACCTGAGGTCATACTGAGACACAAAGTAAAAACAACAAAACAAATGTTGAAGAAACTGTTATTTTAGAGAAATAAACTTTTCAGGAGGTAGAGAAGTTATTTATTGAAATCAGTCGAATGTTTCTCATACTGCTTCTCATGTTGGAGTTATGTGTTTGAATGATATCATGCCAACCAGTGAGCTGCAGTGACTTCTAGATCTTGAGATGTTGGTCTGGCAAAGATCTCAGGTCCAGCGCACAAGTTTCTGAACACTCACCCATGAACATGCCTTATGTTTTCTGCTGGTGCGATCATCATAACCACAACCAATCACAGTTCAGGACACATAACATAGCTGACTTTTGCACTAACGTGCCAAGCTATAAGGAAATACATGGGACGTAATATGCTTAACCAGTTTAATGTCAAATACAAGTTGTATTTATATTTACATGACCTTCACTTGTCTATTTGATTAAATGTAATTTGATTGGCTGGTGCCTGCACTGCCAGGTGAGGTTGAGGTTCTACTTCTACCACAACAGAACCAAAATGCAGTGGGTGTGAGTAAAACTAGAGTTGGTCATGTCATGTGAGAAAACGAGGACTGATTTTTTTATTATATAGATATGTTTTTATTAGAAATAAGACACATTCATTTTGTGCTCTGAAAACTGTACATTAACAAAGAGTCAACCCCAGGAAAATAAAAAGGGGAGTGAGGGGAGGTGGGGCTATGTGTGGCAAGGTGGGACACACATCAGGGGGTCTGAGGTTGGCGGTCGGGGGTCAGGGCTTTTTTTCCGACAAATACAGATCTGAGGGAGTGACTGGCGGTGATATCAAAACACACAGTTACATTGCGATACAGAACACTCCTATAGTCCAGTAACCTGAAGGGACAGGGGGATGAGAGGATCAGTATCAGAATAATTATGTTCATATTTATAATAATGATAACAACTATCCCCAAGCACAGTAAGAAAGATATTTATAGGCTAAAATCCATTCTGTAGAACTCTGAAGTAATTACAATGCTGTACATCAGGACTCCAAATGAGCCTTGTGCTTTCTCTGTGTGCAACCACCATCCCTCTCATAAACTCTGCCTTGTATTTAGCATCACTTTTAATCATCAAACCATAAATATTTATAGATCTATGGATGGATCATTTACAGACGGGTGACAAATTTAAGGAAAAAATCTGAAAAATGAGTGGACGACAATTGGCCCGACCTCAGGGTGGGTGGGGTCAATATAGCCTTCACAATCACCAGATCTGAACCCATGAAAGGGTTTTAGAGAGCACTCTCCACCACCAACACCAAATGAGGGAATATTCTTTGGAAGAGTGGTGTTCCATCCATGTAATATAGTTTGAGAAACTTCCAGAGAGAAACTTTGCGCTGACTTATCCTTTAATTTGGCCCCGTCTGTACCTTCTATTTTTCAACATACACACTCGAACGCAAGCACCTTTTTCCTTATATTTGAAACACTGTCCTATTTTGCATTACTGTACCAAGACTGCTTATACATCGAGAAACAGGATGCACTGATGTCCATGTTGTCCCTCTGTGTGGCTGAGGTTGAGGTTGACGTTGAGGGCCGCTTAGAGCACAGGGCCGAGCGGCCCGCTCTCTGGCGTCTCTGAGGTCTCTGTTGATGAGTAGGCAACCTGCCATTTTGACTCAGGGTGATGTCTTCGATTTTTTTCTCATCCTCCCCTCTGCCTGTTGCTGCAGGGCCAACCTTGCCCCGCAGGGATCGGGGGGGATAAAGTCTCGTAGCCAAAAGGATTGGCGTGAGGGGAGGCAACAGCATTGAGGGGCACATGGATGTGTGTTTGGCAGTCTGCCTCCTCAAACCCCTGTTCATTTTTCCTTTTGAGATTGATGTCAAAGAAATAGATCCAGAGGCAACTCGAGCCAAGTACAACTTAAGCGTTCATCAGGAGAAAGAGAGAGCGGAAACAGCAAGAGTCTCAACAGTGGAAAAAAAGAGACATAATCATGATTATTACACTGTAACCATTTAATGCAGGGGGAAACATTGCATGATTACCTTTGCTGTGCTGTTTATTACATGATGCAGATACAGCAGCTGAATCAGCCGCTTTGTCTCCCATGTAAGCCAGCATGGTATCTGAGACCATATACAAGAAGATGACGAGTATTTTTCTGACAAAAACACAGTCCAAACGTCAAATGAAAGAACAGAGGAAAGACACTGTTCCCATTCTCTCTTTAATTGGTTAAATTGATTTTCTGATATTGTGATGCTTCTCTCTCCTCCTCACCCTTCTTCCCCCTCACGTTCCCGCAGTGGGCTTCATCCAGCCTTTGAGTATAAGTACAGAGCAGGGCAGTGTATGTGGTGTGTCTGCTTGTTTGTCGGAGAGCAGTGAAAAGAAAAAAAAAAGAGTTGTATGTATGAGTCCATTATCTGGGTCACACCTCTGTCTGCAGGTCCATGATCTCCTGGCCCACCAGAGGAATGGTGGCACTGGTCTTCTCCCACTCCACTGTCTGCAGCTCCAGAGGAGAGGCTGCAACTGTCTCCAGGTCCTTCCTCACCCAGGATGGGGGGGAGTGGGTCTTCCTGATGCCCTCCCATGCCCTCTTACTAGGGGTCTGCTGCTTGTCCTGATGAGAGGAGGATACAGTGAAAAGGCTTGCTTGTCTTAGATCAAATCTGTGATGTATTTCAGTTGTTTTGGTGGAACTACTTTACCTCATGCTGCCCTAAAAGAAAAATAAATTAAGTTTCTTGCCAAGAACGATACAAATCGCTGCCATTCTGTGTGTTGAGCACAGATCTGGAACCTAGCTTAGTATACAAAATGGAAGCTGATGGAAGCTAACCTCTGTCTAAAGTCCAAATAATCCATATAACAGGACTTCAAAAGTGAACAGTTTCATTTGTATACCAATAGAAGTGTACAAAACTAGTTTTTTCATTTACTGTGCATTTTTGTAGCCAGGACATTTTCTTCAATTTGTGGTGATCAACATATCTGGCGACTTTTCTGTTCAAGCTGTTGAGCTAACTCTTGGCAAGAAAGTGGAGACAAATATTTTGTACTGTCAAACAGTTTGACAAACCCAAATAATATAATGTAAAACTTGCTCATTCAGTCTATAAAATAGCATATGCAAAAAGCTAGAATGCCAATAAAGATTGCCAATATGATTGTGGTTGATGAGCTCATTCTCAAAACATATCTTGTACCCAGAGTGTAGAAGTTGATCTCTCTGCCTCTCCTATGATTATTACATCACATTGTTTTTTATCATATTTATATATATAGACCCTGACTCCAAAGCTGTGAAACAAACGGAGATCAAGGGATTTTGCAGCAGTAGGAAATGGGAACTGCTGCCTTTGAATGACTGCAGCTACAAAGCCAACATGTGATTTCCTGCTGTTGAAAACTAGTACCCAACAAATCCAGTCTCAGCCAAGTTTCCCTTTGTATATAGTGGAAAACCCCCCCCGGCACAAATCATTTTTTAAAAAGCTAATAGCAAGAATTAACAAAACCATGTTGCATATTTTGAATCTTAGTGGGAGGGGATAGCTGACATTGTTTCAGGATTGAAAAAGACTGAGTGGCATTTGGTGCTTTTTTGAGGCTTGGACAGGATTAAAACTCACTAGTAAGATAAGAAACAGAATAGATTATTTCTTTCTATTACATCTCTATGCAGAATTATTGAGGATGCTGGATAGTGTTATATTAACCATTCATTATTTCAATATACATTTAAAAAATAAAACAGTAGCTATTACATCATCATGTTGTGTAGTTTCATTATAATATAATGTTATCTTATAGACTACCCTGTGCTGGTAATGCTGGTACACTTTGACCTTCTGGACCCATTTCATTGTACTTTGGCTAACTCTGGAGCATCATTCAAACTGGGTTTCGCACAAGTGTGGCAACCAGACTTAGGTTGAGTTGTTTCTTCAGGCCATCATTGGGCAAAACCACTTTGGCTACGTGGGTAACCACAATACTTATTGTTTTTAAAGGAGGTAATCCTTCTGAACTCACTCAAATTAAAATGTCCCAACATTGAAAACTAACTGAAAGTATAACACTCCTCTTTGCCTATGCACAAGATATGTGATACAATCTTAAAGGACAAAAAAGCCATGCGGTCCTTTCCTGCACATGAGTCTATGTTCATGTAAAATGGCATCATGAGTTATAGCCTGTTTGGCATCTACATTGAAAATGTATCAATAACATGCTCAAGTTATTCGCTCAAACTTAACATAGGCTAATGTTGATGGTTAATGAAGCATGATTGGCTGGAAAGAAAATATGTGAGAAGATATGCCTAAATGCAGATGTAGGAGCCATATTTTACTATCCTGATTGGGTTGGGTTGTAAGATACCCTTGACTGATTAACTACTCATTCTGTGTCACAAAATTATCATACATTATGAGATATTGTTGATCATACCTTGAAAAGAGGGCAAAATTATAAACAAGTACGATAATTATTGTACACCTGGCAATGCTGATTTCAAGTCGATGTGCTGTTCATTTGGCTGAGTTTGCAATTGCAGTTTGTACGACCATCCACAGTTAAGCCTCTAGATTCTCCCCGCAGCTAATTTCTTCTAGCACTGGCATTGTAAGCAGATGCAATTTTCAAAATGGCTGCATTTATTTAACAACCTGCTCAACTCAAGAGTTTTGTGCTAATGATAAGTAAGAAAAGGAGAACAATATTCGATATAGGGGAGGGGGGGCAGAACAGAATAAAGTTAAACTAGTTACACTCATGTTGGTCTTGTCACTGCTGGCAGAGGACACACTCCATCTTTTGGCAGCTTTGGCGTCAACAGGTGGAGATTCTCTATCCTTGTCTGCACTGTGAATCTTCCTGTTCAGGTCCTGAAACATGTCCTGGTGGCGTTTCCGGGTGTGCATTATTTTCTACACAGGAACATTGCACGTTACGTACAAGGCAAACAGCACAGCCTACCATCAATCCTACTTTACCCCCTTCACATGAAATGTCTTTAATCTCAACACTACAGTCCCACCCAAACTTTTGAGTAATAAATATATGCAAACATCTAGAGGTCTGAATAGATTAGAGACATCAGCTTTTTGGTCTAAAAAGCTCTGTAGGAATCAAAAAGACTAAAATTACCTCAAAGTCAAGTTCTGCATAGCGTGATTTTCGTCTCTGGGGGGAGATGAGACAGAGAGATTAAAGATGTGTCTTGAGTTCCTTATTTCTTAAGTGTTTCATTGTGTATCCCCACATCAGCCAGTCAAGAAATGATGTTTCTGGGACTCAGAGAAGAGGAGTGAGTCATGTGGGTGGAAACAAGGTTTGCTGCTGGTCATTCTGACCCTGTTGGCACAAGTTTGCGGTTAACAGATTGTGACCGAATGACCTTTGAGTCCTCCGTCACAGAGTGATGAAAGAAAACCTGACCTTCAGGCTGCTCGGTAGCTGTGTCAGCTGCGGCCTCACACGGCATTATGGGAGTGTGTTTTGCCCCGGAGTGAAAAGACACCAGCAGGCAGATGTCCAGGCTGCTGTGTGCTGATCACTGAGTCATCTCAACTTGCCATTGCTGTCTGAGCTAGGAGCTGAGTGAAAACTAACCTTTTTAAAGATGCTGTCCTTACATGGGGCCAGACAATGCTGGGATGCTTCTCATGATTTAGTCTTTGCCATGAATGAAATAATTTGGCTTATTTTTAGCATCAGAGAGGGGATGACCTTAGCATACAAGAAAAATCGGACAGCAGTTCCCTGTGGGGACCTAGATAATGGACCACAGGTTATCTGTGGCTCAGCTGATCAACTCTCAAACTTAAGCCTGTGGCTCCATACATGCCACATATATGATTTTAGAGCAAGGTTTTAGAAAAGTACTCTAATGTTTATTGTATGGATGGCTGCAGTCCATGCAAACTAATAGATGATGAACAAAAAAAGATTGATGTCCCTGTATTGAGAGAATGACAATAACGAGAAGATATGACAAGAAAGTGATGTTTACCAACATGATGCTACTGTAAATTCTCAAACAAAAGCAAGTTAAAAACACATGGAATTATCTGAAATATAGCTTACATAGTAAATTCAGCATAGCATCCTTTCATACAGCACTAATTCCATCAGTAGAACAGCAGAGTCGTGAGACACTGGCTTGCTGCTACACTCCTTTTTGTCTCTCACTAAATTCCAATCCCTTTTACCTTTGCAGACACTATCTGTGAAACTCAACACCTCCTCCTTTAAAAGCCTTCCAGTAAAGGATCTTGTCTGTTACCAAAAGAAGTTAACAGCTCTAGAAACAAGAGACATCAGGAGAAGACACACTCTCTCCCTGCCATACCCACAATATCAAAAGGCACCACCTCGCTAACTTATTAAAGTAGTTTAGAAGTTTCATAACAACTTCTTTTTGACTCCTGCTCCAGAAAAGACAGGCATACTAATTGCATTATGAATAAAATTACTATTTACAAGAGATTGGAATATATTAGTGAAAAAAGGTATGTGTTAAAAGTAAAAGAGAGAGCAGCAGAGTTGTTGTACTGATGGGATTGGTGCTGTGTGAATTCGTATTATCTTAAATCTAGGCATTATCAGCAAAAAGTGTTAATAGAAATTTAAACAAGAACAGATCAGAGAACAGAGAGACTTCTCACTAAAGTATATTCAATAAATATCCTCATGATATGGGAAATTACAAATTAAAAACCAAGTAAAGGCCTGGTTCTGAATACAGTTCCGATAAAAATATTTGAGAATTTATGGTTAGCAGTAGCAGTACAAAACAAAACTTTACATGCATGTCATATTTTAAATAATAGGTATGAGGCTGACAATGCATTACTATGACAACAATATGCTAATTATTTCCGTGGTGTCCTACCTCCAGTGAGCTCATGGACAGCGTGGAGACGGTTTCACTCTTAGACATCACACCAGAGTTTCCGGAGTCTCCCCCATCACACATGCTGTTGGCCACCTGGGAGTCTCTGGGCTGCAGGTTGTGTGCAGGTGAGTCTCTGTCAGAGCATGACACACTGACCTGGTCGGCAGGCAGGGTCTTCAGCCCAAAGCCAGGCATTGGCTCCCCACTGGCGGAGTTGGCCAGGTGGATGAGTCTGGTCTGAGGCAGCTGCTCAATGCCGATGTTATACTTGGCCGCCTGCTCTTCTTTCCCCTTGGCTGCCTTCAGAGTGCCCGTGTTGTTGGTTGGTAGAATGACGTATCCCGGACCTTTGCCAGTGCCCTCAGAGCTGCTGCCCTCACCGTTCCCTCGAGGCAGCTCTCCGTCCAGCTGCTTGAAGAGTTCGCCGTCACAGATGTAGATGGATTTGGCGCCTGGCAGCTCTGTGCTGATCCCCTTAGCAGCGCCTTTCTCCCTGCGCAGCGTCAGAGTGTGACAGTTGTAGTCGGCCACATTCTGGAGGTGAACCTTAGCCATGCTGGCTGGCATGGTGTTGAAGTTAGAACCCTTCTGAAGGGTGAGGGTCCCAGCGGAGGCCTTCTCCTCCCCCTGGAGAGACGAGCGCTTCATAGTGCCTGGTGGCAACAGAAGGACAGAAAACAAATCTGGGATGAACTGTTGGACCGTGGCTGGATACCTGCTTGAGGGTATGAGTGTCTGTGAAATTAGATGTCGTTCCCTATTGACCCCAGGCCTTTTCTATCATTTCAGTAAATTCAACACATTTATATAGTAATATGCACTTTGTAAAACTAGATTTTGATAAAGGTCTTCAAATCAAAACAGGGCATCGTCATTACGCAACAACAAAATAATGTCTTTCAGCTGTCTTTAATCTGATTCGACACTGTTGTATTGGTGCATATGTTCAGGTTAGCCCAAACCATCTGAAACACAGTTGGTTGTAAAGCCTCAGTTGTTCCTTGGGTCTGATCCTCGATGGCAGCTTCCAGCTTTATCATGTCAATAGTAATATCTATTGTAATTATAAGAGTTTTTGGAAATAAAGTCAAATCACAATACTTCCCACCAGTGAATTGCTAATGCATGATGAGCACACACACAAAGAAATAAATAGCTGAGAGGTGTATCACAATATGTTTGAGTCTGTATTGGACCAGTATCTGATATCAGTATTGGATTAATGCATCTCTAGTGCATGTCTGCAATTGTGCCCACCTTGTCTTTGTGCATGCTGCCAGTGTTCCTTCCTCCTATTGACATATACATGAAAAAGACTAAAAAAACTATAATCTCTTTTCTTTTCTGCCTTCTCTCAATCGGGCCTGTCTGTGTCTCAATAGCTTTTCTGCTCCAGATGCTTTTCTTGATATCCTGTCTCAAGAGATAATCAGATTTTCACTCCCAGCAGATATCGGAGCAGAGCCAGTATCTGATGTGGCACTGTCGGGTGGGACTTAATTATACAGCTGCAGTGTAGGAGACTCTGACAGCCCTATTTATCTGCTTATAACTACTCAGCACACATTCATCCCTCTCCCATCAGCCTGGACTAAACTGTGTTGTGCAGCAGTAATGTGCTGTATCTCTTGTCAAAACAACTCCTTGGTGAAAGGAGGCTGCTGTGATGCTGATTGTAAGACACAAGTGCAGAACTGAGGGAGAACAAGTCTCACATCTGTTACGACAGCGCTGACGCATTTGAAGTAGTGAAAAGAGGCACAAAGAGGAATCTGTAGCTTTTTAAACAGCGGTCCCAAAAGTCAAATCAAATCCACACACAAAATCAAACTCACTCAACCTACAGCTTACCTGATCTGCAAGCCATGTCAACGTCTTTCTCAAAGTCAGTCTGAGGACAGAAAATAGTACATAATGTGTCAACTGCACACATCCTGTCAATAATTAATAATAATTGTAATAGCACCAAAATAAGTATATACATACCATGAGCTGAGCATGGCCATTCTGGAAAGATCCACCTGAATCTCCATTTGCGTCCTCCTGGCGGTCCACTACACGACACTTCACCGCCTCCTGAACCTGCAACAAACCATGACATCTTAGTACAGGTTGGCAAATGAAATACTGATGTGACTTCTTTAGTAAATACTTCAGTTTGCAAACACTGGCTAAATTTATTAGGTCGAACAATTATGATTTGGCGCTATGCAAATAAAATTGATTTGAAAAATGTAATTTAATTTATAGTGTTGGGGCTTTGGACTAAAATGTCTCGGCTTCAAGTTGGAGAACTGCAGAACTACAACGGTCATGGACATCGGATTATAGAATCATTAAAGTTCTCCGCTGCATTTCCATTCAATACATCACAGACCACAATCATAACCATGTTGCTTAAAGGGGAAATTGGAGTGAATCCTTGAGAATCATCCCACAACAACTCAGTTTTACTTTGCTGTTCTGTTGTTTAAAGTTATGATATAAAAAATAAAATTGAACACTTCTTCAGAGATGTTTCCCATCAATAGTTTTCCACCAGTTCAGGGTGATATTGTTCCAGGTAGAGCGACGTACAGGTAAAGAAAAACTGCTTAATAGACAGGGATGTGAATGACAACAGCAGGGGGGACATGACAATTTTACTAATGTAGGAATTTTTATCAACGTATATAGACTTTTCCAGTACAAAGAAACGTCACAGCCACCCAAACCTAAAATTATCTTGTGTGCTTCACATTTTAGCATGTGTAGGTGGTGCTGGATTTCACTGACTTGTGCTCTATATGTGCCTAGATATTTCCAGTGAGATTAATGGCTGAATAGACTATTGGCTGCGAGGCATTTGTCAAAACAAACAAACATTAGGTTGCACTTTTTAGGACTCAGGACACTCTGGACAATGGCACATCATGACCATATTGATTAAGGGATCATTTGGGATGTTGGTAAAGCCACAGGGAAAGTCTAGGATTTATCAAAATCCTTGGTAATCATCCCTGAAGGATCCTACCCCATCTTTAAATTCCAGCTGCTCTCGACCTAAGTAATGTTTGACTGAATCATTAAGTTTTTTCTCATCTCTCCATCCACTAGATATACAGCTTATCCTTTGACGGGTGCAAGAGGCTGGAGCCTATCCTGGCTGAAATTTGGCGAAAGGTGGGGTATGCCTCTGATAAGTTGCCAAACCAGAACAGGGCTGACATATGGATACAAACAACCCCCCACCCTCATACTTACACCTACAGGAAATAAAATCTCCAACTTTTACATTGCTGACTTTCACTGCTTGAGTCATTAAACATAGAAATGACCTGCACTAGTTTTTATGGAAACTTCCACAGAATCACATTACACAAAGAAAGAGCATTTACAGTCTCAAACTAAATCTAGAAGAAGCAACTAGATAGGGTTGTGGTGCGGTGAGGTACCTCTCTGCGCAGGATGCAGTGCACCATGACAATGACAAAGCCTTCCAGTGAATCAAAGACGGCAAATAGGATCTGGAAGAGCGCAGAGCGCCGATCGGTGATCGCGAGGACAGCCGACATCCAAGTGAGGGCCAGGAGGGGCAAAACCACACAGGAGCTCCACAGTGATGCCCTGCAGGAGGGGATGGGAATTACAGTCAAGGACAGCAGTAGAAAACCTTTTATAACATGACACAGGGAAAAACCAAAATGTTTCCTGACAGGTATGCTGTAAAACATTTTATGTTTTCCATTAGCTATGATTGTCATTTTTCTTACATTCTAAGGCAGTCTTCAACACAATTCATTTCCATGAAATGTTAATCAAAAAATGCTTCACACAATCTCAAACCAACATCCTACGTACCCTTGATAACTGCCAACGCTATTAGCATGTATTAGCAGCCTAACCATGCATAAATACATCACAACAAATATTTATGTTACTCTCACATACAAAAACATACATCCATTATCTGCAGATATATATGCTCAAAATTCACATATATTACATGCATGTATGTTTAAGATGGTTCAGTCAAACCATAGAGGGTCTAGTGCCACAGAAAAGAGAGGAGGAGCGAGGGTGAGCAGTGGGGAAAAAAAACGAGTGTAATGAGGCTGAAACAGAATACAAAGACAAACAGAGGAGGCAGAGCAGAGAGGGACAGAGAGAGAGAGAGTCTGGAGAAGTGTCGTTCCCCCTGCCCATGTTGTTGGTCCAACTTTGCGGTTCTGCCATTTCTGACTCATTTTATTAATTCTAATATGCAGACCAGGAATAAACCTGCAAAATAACTACTCTCAGTATGAGCGTCATGAATTCATGTTCCACTTATATTCTCTCATCAAACCTGTTCAGCAGGTGTTAAATTGATTTCCAGAGGTGGAACAAGTACAGAGGACTTTAACTCAAGTGTGTGGCACAGGCAACAATAAAACAATACGTCCTTATAAGCAATTAGTTTTACTTTTACTTTTTTTTTAACTAATGAGAAGTAGGTGTCAATTAAAGGAAAGAAGTTTATGGATCGTGAGCTGCCACAGTGTTTCAAATCCATGTGTCATTTTGTTGCCTCACGCTTAACATAAAACGAAAACCTGAAAATAAAGACCAAATGAACAAAAATTGCAAGTTTTAAATTGAAAGTAAGAGTTTGTTGCTGACTGACATTAAGTTAGTGACTTTCTTATTAATGTACATTCTGCAGCAAAGGGAATCATTAATAATATTCCTCAGTTTCAAACAAAGGCCTGGTTCCTTCATAACATCTTTTAACTTAAAAAGAAATTTCATTGTAATAATAATAATTTGTCTGTTTTATGTAGCAAATAGTACTTAATGCTCTGATGTATATCATCTAGTTTGTATTTGAAGAATTAGTCTGCAAAGCAAAATGTAAAACATACATTTAAGTTAAAGACAAAGCTAAATAAAATGAAAACCGTGAACAAATTATAGCATTAAAACCTCTACACTCGAGTTTCTTTCCACCTCTGGTATTAAATCAGAGCATTCAATGGGTTTGCTGATGCTGGCCACCCTTTTTCCACCCTGCCCACAGTGACACAATTGTTTTGTTTTGGTATGAAATTGATTCACAGATAAAGATGCTGGAAATTGTCACAACAAATCAGTTAAAAGAGTAATTCCAGTTATTTTCAGTCTGGACCTTGTGTCTGAAATCTGTCCTTCGTCAGAGCACTGTTCTCTAAAATAAACAATTTCTGTGAGCAGTAATGAGAATATATATTTGTTGTTGACTCCACTATCTTCCCATGACATGACAACTTTGTGAGATATGTCAATGCCACTGATGTTGGCCAGTAGAAAAATAAATCAGTACAATACTAATTAAAGCCTGTATTCAGAGGCTGACATGTAATTTAAAAAATCATGACCCATGATGAAAGCAGAAAATATTATTATTTAAAAGGTGTGACCTCTCTATTGAGACCAACCAATTTTATTTAAGAGATTCAAGGTTGGCCATGGGCGATGGTGGAGCCACAGGAATGTTTTATATCTTTTTATTTGAATGTTTAAAAGTGTTGGCTGTTGTGTTTAGATATATAGATATAAATTTCAGAGAATGTCTTTGTTGGAAATATGTAAGTCACAAGAGTGAAACAAGATCAGGGCGTGAAGTAACGTCGTCACAGGATGAGGTTTGAGTCAACACAAGACATGGAAACGACATAGAACCCAAAGAAATATTATTTGAACATTTTTAAAATGTTGCCTGGTGTTCTTACTCATCCAGACTGCGCTAGAAAATCTATAATATCCCAATAAAAAGTAAAACAAAATCTGTAAAATAATGTAGATATAATAGTGTTTACTGTTATATTTAGATCTAGCCATCTCGTTAAAAACACCCTTAGTCATCACAGAAGTAAACAGGATCAGGACTAAAGGTGATGGGGCTACATACATTGTACTGCCATACCCAACCAACATGTGAACTACTTTTTCTGTGTATATACACAGCCTTCATAAACTATGGAGTACTCACTGATGTGTGCAGTGCAAAAGCAAAGTCACATAACAGAGCATGAAGTGAAATGATGTGTATTTTCTGTTAAGTCAAAGCTGAGCAAAACATGAAGTAGCTATTTAGATGTTGTAGATTGCAGCAGAGCAACACTCAAAAAGAGCTAGATATGGGCACAATTAACCTTTCTCTATCATCAGATTCTGTTCGCTTGGTAGTGAGGAGTAGAAAATTAAGGCCCAGGCTGAAAATAACAGAAATAATCCATATAGGCAGTCACAGATCACAGCCACACACACACACACACACACACACACATATGCATAGTGCTTGAAGCCCTCTCTGCATACATAGCCATGTCTTACTTAACATCTGTTCTACTGAGGTTTGTCACTCTGATGATCTCTTCAGAGGATCACACACACACACACACACATCACATTTGCATTATTAATTACATATATACTGTTAACACAGTTTCTTTAGAGGAGAAGCACATAAGCTTCAGGCTTCTCTCATACTGAATGAAATACCCCCTGTCAGGGCATCAGGGAGAACAAAATAAAATGACAAGAGGAATAAAGGGAAAGAGAACCAACCAATCAAGAAAGGGAGAAGGAGGGAGGTGTACAGTAGAGGAGAGAACAGAGGTAAGAAGAGTTAAGGAAAAATAATTAGCGGGACTAACATGGCGTTACTGGTAGCTGTGGTGGAAACGTCAGCCGAAGAGATAACTCCGCACTTGGCACATTTGAGCGTCATATTGTACAGTGGCACTGTCATCTGACTGCAAAGTCAAATTAACACGCTGTAACATACACAAACAGATACAAATGCACCTATACACACACTCGCAGAGATGCGCGTGCGCAGACGAGCACGCACAAACAGTCACGCAAAACAGTGTGTCACAGTGGTCTCGCACAATCTCTCTCTCAGGGCTACCGTCCAGCTTGGAGTTTGGTGTGTGGTCTTTGGGGTTTGCCTGAGTGTGATTCAGGGCACAGGGTAGATAAGGCTAAGATGATGTCTGACTCTGGGACTCCTTTCACTTTTAAGTATTTCATCCATTCAACCTTTTATCTGCTTGTGATACGAAAAGATTTCATGCAAATACCTAATTTCATCCATTTCATGAGCCTGATGACGATTTACATCTCTGCTGCCCTGATTATAATGATGTGCCAGATGTGCCCCACCCCTGGTCATGTATATCTGTGCTACCTGCTCATTGTAAGTTATGCAGAGCTTAAATGCAAAGATTTACACACACACAAACACACATTTTTCATTTCTATATATATATATATATATATATATATATATATATATATATATATATATATATATATATAGCTCTGAGGACCTTTATCATGCGCTCCGTATCCCTTACCATAACCTAACCATCCCAAGAAAACCCTTAATCTACCTTAACTTAAAGCTAACTGTAACCTGAACCACACACACTATCAGTCATAACAGTCAGCGTTCACTAAGAAAAACAACCTCCTTCAGTTGTGATGAACGTGTTACATAACATCAGTACATTTTCTGCTAAGTAAACCGTCTTCAGTCAACCAGTCTCTCCCATAGAGCTGCAAAGTTATTACAGAATCCTTTTAAGATTAAAACATTTAATCGCGGAGCTTAGTATTCAGTTGTGAGCACTACTAACAATGAGTGCAAGGAAAAGATTACACTTTCATTATATCACAATAACCCTCCGGACTGAATGAATTCGGCAACTATGGTGTAGAGTTTTGTTTCCAACTGTGACAAAGTATTTGGAATTTTCTCCAGCTGTGATTTACAAGTGTGGCTGGCGTGTTCTCTTCCAAAGGGGAACTTGCATTAGGGAGAAATGCTGCTGGAACTGGTAGATTGTGAACATAATAACTATTCAAGTCCTTGATCCTTCTGCTAACTCTGTTCATCTAGATTCATCTGCCATGTCACTTGAATAATAGTCGGTATGTGGTCAGTATATGGGACTGACACCAAAAAACCTACTATTGATTTTTTGGAACACTGAAGCATATGAGTTACAAAATTCCATTATAGCTAAAGTACTCGCAATATTTCAGCATGGTGCCCCTAAGTCTGCCCCTGGTCTGTTATTCTCACAAATGACAATAAGCTGCAAAATGGACCTAATGATGATGACTGAAAGCTGATTGGTAAATTAGGGTTTTAATGAGTTCTTTGTAGAATGATATTAACATTTATATGCATTTCAATAAGTTTACAACTGTAGAAAAAAAGTAGATAATACAAGGTATGCCCAAACACCACTTTGGTTGTCCTTATGTCCACTTTTACTACCTTCCAACACCCAATCCTCCAAAAATCCATCCTTCAACCCTTTCCACACCATCACGTCTACATACTGTATGTCTTTGTCATATGTTGCTTGACGACTGAAGACTGACTACAATGCTGTAGATATTGACAAGTAATGGCATAGTATGGCCTCCTGCTGAACAGCAAATAAAGCTGAAGAGAAGAGGGAATCAATTTTTGTAGCCTCTGGACGCCTGGATTAAAAAAAAAAATCACATGATGGAAGAAATTCAATTTCAAGTAAAAGGGCAATACGACTGCTAAATGTACACCGTAGGCAGTGATATTAAAAAGCAATCAACACTTCTGAAATACAACATTATTTCCTTGGACCTAAGGATCAGGAGGCAAAAGGTGGGTGGTTGTTGGGGAGGGGAGAGATGCGTTAAGCTAAACAAATAATACATATCTAGTATGGACGAGCATCACATTTGTACAATCTAGTCCTTAAGTCAAACATAAACCTGCTGTTCATGTTACAGGATGTTCTGCAGCACATCGAATGCAAGGAACTGGAAGTTGTTTCAGCTACAACATCCCATCTCATCTAAAAGCTTAATGTCGGATTAACCTACTGTTACAACCTGTAAATACATAGTAGTGATGATTGAAATTATTTAAAAGTTTATTAAGGAGGAAACAAGTGCCAACATAAATTGGAATTAGGTCTCTCTTGGCTGTTCTAATTTTCTTTGTGCATTAGCCTCTAAATGTGGGGGTAAAGGAGACTCTGCAACAAGGGGGGAGACCCAGCAGTGAGCCCTGTCTCAGAGGTGAGAGCTGACCTGCCTGGTGCAGACGCTGCCGCATTCTAAATTAGGTGTTGCATAAATTAATTAGCTTCATTAAACATGTTTTGCATTTGAAACACAGAGAAGTGAATAGGGGCAGGGTGTTGGCACGTCTTCAAAAGGGAAACAAGTCATTCTTATTTATTATTTGGTCAATCTCAGAGACAAAAAAACGGCAACATCACCACAGGGTCAGCACAAATCATATAAGACCTCATTTCAAACCACTGATATTATGTTTAGATTACCAACAAGCCAGAGCAGCCTCAACATACTGCATATGCAAGTTGGATTTGCATTCTAAACTTGCCCATGACCCCTGGAAATGCTTGAGAGAGATTGCGACTGCATGCTGTGAGTCGTATGTGGAGGGGAAGATACGATCCAAGGTCATTGGGCCTCATTCACCAACCATGATTAAGAAGAAACCACTTATGATGATTCTGACATTCATCAATGATTTGATCTTATGTAAGAACAAAATCTACGCACACTGATCAGGACGCTTCTGCAGTAAAATAATCAGTTATTGTCCTGATGGTCCCGTCAGGCTCAGGTCGAGTATCCAGGGATGCTCATCTGAGGGTTCACCTGCAGTGCTGTTTTTCCAATGAAGCACTGCACCAGCTCCGATATCTTTGTGCACCCTCCTTGATTCTAAATCTGAGATTGAACTAATTTCTTACTAGGGTCAGGTTTAATTTTCAATTATGCGACTTTCTCCCGATACAGATTTTACTGAACATGTAACTGCATTCCATGTATGGTTTTATGTGGTATTTTTTATCTCCATTACTGACACAACAAAATAAAAACAACTTTTTTATGGTACAGTGCCGTCTTTAGATTTTCATTCAATCACTCCTGGCTTCTTTAATGTTTTTCTCAGTTTTTGATTTCTGTGTGTGCACACAGTGCGCAGTCTCATGCCCTTTTATGAGCATTGGTGGAGCGTTTACCTATGCTACCCTGGAAAGACTGCCACGCACTTTCAAATTACCAGGACATCACATTCATCAATACAAAAACACAAATGTGAACAATTCTGTTTTCTTAGGAACGTCTTAAGAACAAAGTTAAGAAAATTCTAAAAATGATATTAGTGAAGGAGGCCTATTGTGAGTAGTGGAACTCTAAAAGGTTTTTGGCGAGTACTACTGCAAATTTGATTTCAAAATGATCTGGTTTAAGTAACGTCACTTGAGTCAGTGTTGTTGGTGTTAAAGACAAAGTTTGAAAATGTAAAAAAAAAAAAAGAAAAGTTGGTTGGAATTAAAGAGAGGACTATTGCAGACTAAATTAGCCGCTAACACATCGAAATGTCAGAATGAGTTTCAGCGGTTGAGTTGCATTGCAGGCAATGAAGGCCATACGTTTTTATCCTTTCATTTCTAAACTGTGCACCGTTATGGCAGAGCAATGTTATTCCCTCTGCAGGGGAAAGCCCACATAGTGGTGGCCCCATGTTGTTTCTGGCTGATAATGACTAGACCCCATGGGCCCTGCCAGCAGGCGCTTATCTGGCATATCTGCGGCAGTTCTGGTCCTAATTTCTTTATACATCTAATCACAAATGCTTTTTGCCTTGGGGGACCCAACCATTACTCCATATTTGCCACTTGGTGCAGCAGGCTCCCCATCAGAGAAAAGCTGAGGAGCTCAGATACAGTATCTGAGAGGAGACTAAGGTCGAACAGCTTCTCTCTTCAACAACAACCTGAGGTGGTTGAGCATCTAGTCAAGATTCTCAGTGTGGACAAACAAGCCCAGCAGGGGAGACACATGAGGGTACAATACACTGAGTAGTCTACATAGCCCGTGTGCCTTGGTGTCCTCCTGGGACAGAGAGTAGTTAATGAAATTGGCAGAACATGGTTACATGAATATACACCTGGCAATGCATCAGTCATTACACCTGACCAACAACACCCACTGCAGTATTCTTCACTTATTTTGTACAATGGCAACAATGACCGATGTGGCCACTAGTCATTCTGTTTCAATGACGTACTGTAGCAGCTACATTCACAGTTAAAGAGGTGACAGCTGAATTCCAGCTCTGAGACAGACAAGAGACGAGCACATGATTGAGGGTTTGTGTAAATCTTAAATCAAAATGTGTGAGAAAAACATTCTCAACTCAAGGTCCACTTAGCTGTTTTCTCACTATTACACTGCCAGCGTTAACACTTCATTAACACAAAATTACTATCAGTAGCATCAGGCCCATTCAAACTGGCGCCTTCAGATGTTCTTGTATACATTTAGTAATATTAAATATTATTTCAAACTGTAGCCTGGCTGCATTTACTGAGAGATGTGCATCCGTATTGCCCAATATGCCCAGCTAATCATCATTTTGCACGAGTCAATGTCAATCCATTGTAAAACATAATATGTTGGATTTACTATAAAAGAGAATCGAAAATCATTGTCAAAATGAAGAGGCTGAGTTAAAATAAATTATTTGAACGTTATTCAAGCCACCCATTATATTTCACAGTCATTAGTTGTGACTAAAGACAAGATAATTATCGTCTTGTTATCAAATGATGTGAGGTTATGTTATCACACCCTTACATTGAGGACTAGACAGCCGAAGCAAAGCAATGCCCATCAAGGTTAGTGAGAAAGGTAGACTAGCACCTCTTTCCCTCAATACATTGACTTCATTCACTTTAAGACGTAAGGAAACCACAGCTCTTGTTCTCAGTAATTTTTGAAGGCCATTAAATCTATGAGGTATGCCTTAGAAAAAAACGCAGGCCACACCAGCTTTTCAGAGTGAGCTTCACTGTTTATACCCAATTGATAGAAAATAAAAAATGGCTTCTCTGGATGTCCACCATAAACCTTGAACTCACATTACTTTGTCACACACACTGCTCTCAGGGTCAAGAACTGGTTTCTAGGCTCCAGTCCAAAATCTAGCTGTTAGTAGAAACTTCAAATTCACCTGAAAGAAAGGCGAATGAATCCACGCGATAATCTGACATAAGTACGAGTTACTGCATCAGCAGTTGAATACTTATAATATTGTCTACCCACTAACCTCACACACACCCATTTCCACACCATTCAAATGATCAGAAAATATTAATATTACTGCAACTAGCATTTGTTATTGTTAAGAAAGTCGAGGTTTTTCTAAAAGCATCCAGAAATGGTCAGAATCTGAGGCAATAATGTGTTATGTCTATCCAGCTGACAGGAGCTATTGGTCAATGGTGAAATAGCAGGAAATAAAAGTAAGCCAATCAGAGTTGCTTGCTAGAGGATTCAGCAGTTTTGGTGATGGGCAGGGCTGGTAGCCATACGTTAAGAAGAGGGTGGGATGGGCAGGTATTTTTACCCAATCACTGATGACATGGGAGGGGGCTTCTGAGACTGAAGTTTTCCTGAGTGGAGAGCCCTGAGTGAGAGAGAGGGGATTCTGTGCAAACTCAAACATGACATTTCAGACAGCAAAAACAAGTACAGTAGAACAGAGAAATCATTGGAGAAAGCAAACATTTTTCAGAGAGAGAAAGAAAATAACATTTGAATGCACCAACAATGCCAATGGAGACAAAACAGCCTGCGGGGTAAAGGGGAGCAGGGTGCAGGTGTGCTCACTATTTCTGAAAGCTGACAGGCCAATGACATTTTAGGCTCATGTCACTAGTAGCTAGTGGCATGCCAAAAATGTTCTTTACCTAAAATCAAACTTCATGAAGTGCGAAGAAAAGTTATCAAAGCATTACACACATTTAAAGGTGCATTGAAATTGTTTGGCAGCTTGTTTACGGCAAAACTCAAGGTCAGTTGAGGCCGTTCATAGTGTTAAGAGGAGCGTCAAATGGCATAAAACCAGTGAAAACAGCCTAACGCAAAGGCTTAGTGTTGGCAAGGAGGCTGGTCAAATTTGTTCCAGGGTTTTCTTATGTTAGAGTTAGAACAGGTTTAAAACCTGGTAAGACCACAGGTTTATAGACTATTTTTAAGATGCAGTGTGGAGCCAGAAGTTGTTGGTCAAGAAATCTTACAAAGCTTACAGACACTTGCTAGACTTTGTAGGGGACTGCACACTGCAACACTTTCTCCATTTTTAGTTCTGGCCAATAGTTAAGCCTGGATTTGATTTGCCCTGGGAGATCCTATCAACAATGCTATCAACAAAACAACTGAACACTCGCGAGCAATAATGTGCATTTTGTGGAGGTATAGGGGAAAGGCATTTAGCACTAAATGCAATGTAGTAGGACTACTTTTTGCAGGTTTTTTTCCATCACCTGTTCACAACTGTTCAATGTCTGACCTGCTTTGAATCAGAGGCTTTGTCAGGAAAACTCTGTTTTTTTAACTTTGCTGATCTCTGAACGATTTAAAAGACAGTAGATCAGCAACCGAAAAAGATGTTTAATGGAAAACTATAGTTTATTACAGCTCGGGGTTCAGAACTATAGCTTTGGTCAATGGATCCATTGGTTGTGATAACGTTATCTTACAGCTTTATCCTACAGTCTGCAATCTCAGCAGTGATTTGGTAGAAAACAATGTTATCATAACCAACAGATAAATAGGATGGTTTTCCTTGTTCTTTCGTGAAGTCTTACCCTGCTTCCCTTTACTAGAAACAACCAAAGAGGAGAAAAAAGACATGGATGGATTTACAGAGCTTTACATCGATAGCAAACACCTGCAAAGAGCAGCTGGAGGAAAATGCAACACATTGGAAACTTAAAAGAAAGCAATGAGATGAGTCATTATCTTGCTCAGTCTGTGGAGGACCAATAACCAGACACCCTCCCCCACATATTCTCTCTACCCTCAGTTTATCTCTAACTCAGGAGCATCGATCATAGTCTTCGCTATATGAGAAAACATTGTCTTTTGGTCTTTTGTCTTATTTGTGATTAATTCAGTCACATTTCTCTTATCTTCTTTCTTTTCTCCTTATTCTGCTGGTGATATAAATTAAGTGTCATCTTCAGCCAATTTGGCAAAGTCTACAATAATGCCCTAGGATAGTTTCAGGTAAAAAGCCAATAGCTATGCTTGTCCCTCCCACTAGCTGAGCCGTCAGACTGGTTATAGGTCACTGTGTAAGATGGATGTGTGGTATAAGGCATACCCCGCCCTCTCCTTTAGTTTCATATCAGTAATGCCGTCTTTGGACACCAGTTTGTTAAAAACGAGAATCCCAATAACCATGTTAACCTGCCAAAGAGAAGAGGCACAGGATTAAAGCAGGGCAAAGACAGTTTCATCACTTCACCACATGCAGCACTACGCTGAGGATGATGGATGACGATGCTGATGATGTCCATCATGATGATGATGATGACATGCTCACACACACACACACACACACTGTACTTACTGTAGGTTCTGCATTGTGAATACAAGTAACGTATCATCTTAAATGTGAGTTAAAAACTATCAGGCACCCGATGAAGCATGAGAAGTAAATTATAGTTGAAGAGATGAGATGCTAACATGTAAATTAATGTTTCAATCTAGACAGCATGCTGAAAAAAAGTGATCATACATTAAATATGAGCTGTGTGAAATCAAAGGCAGGGGGAGGGGGGGAAACTCCTGACTGTAGTAATTCTGATGATTTTAGTTCTTTGAGCGTCTATTTAAATCTCTTGTACAAGACACTGATGCTGTTCAGAGTGAGCTGGGCCTCCAGTATGGTTGCCAATTGGAGCAGTAGCTCTTTATTAGAGGAGCAGCTTGGGTAAACACAACATTCAAACCAAGCTGTTCACTTGTAGGTGGGAACACAGAACTGGGAAGTGCATCACTGAAACTGTAGCGAATGGATTTGATTAGAGAAACAAGGACATAGTGTCATTGCAGAGTGTATTCTGCCAGCACATGTGCTTTACCTCAGATGTAGGTTGAACACCAAGGAGCTAAGGGAAATAATTCACCGTTGAAGGCAAAGGTTTTGGAATATTATGTAATATGATGATTTTTTAACCAAAGGGAAGTGATTAGAATTCCTGCTGCATACAGACATTAGTAATAAGCTTAATGCTCTTCTACATTAAATGTCAGTAACATAAAAATTGAGAATATTAAACAGTAATTGTTTGGTAAGTCAGTTTTTGTGATCAGTTATTAAAAAGGAGTTTTGCATATGACATAAAGGAATTTATTTCTAAATGACTTTTATGGTTAAGACTGTTCTTGTGCTTCTTTAAATAGTGGCTGTGAAAGTTTGACCCTGAATGTGAAAAAAAACATCAATTACATTTATCTATTCTACAAACTGCTGCAGAGTCCAGTGTGTTGAGCTTGAATAATGGTTTGGAACAGTGATAAAAACAGGCTTTACTTATGTTGTATGTCCTTATTTATGATTTGAATAGTTATGCTTTGGAAAGATGAATATTGGTTGTAGGTGTTTTAAATAGAAAATGCCCTGGTGCTTAATTTACTTATTATTTCTATATTTTAACTCATAACAAAAGGTTCACAGTTAACTTGTGCTTTTAGCTGTTCTTAGTTGGTGAACACAAACAAACATAAAATTACATACAATGATTAACAATGAAGTATAAACAATAATTAGGTGTTAGGCAGAGAGGCTGTGAAGAAAAAAGGAGATAAAAAGAAGAAACCGGAAGAGGAAACAGGAAAGAAAAATAAAGTTTGGGAAAGGAAATAAAAAAGTAAATAGGGAAAAAAACGAGTAAAATGAGATAAATAAGGAAAAGGAAAAAAGGGGGAGAAGAAAAGAGAGAAGTAGGGATTGAAAAGAGAAGGAAATATGGACTTGTTAAAGGCAGGCCAGAGGAAAAGGAAGCAAATGAGGAAAGAATGAGGCAGAAAAAAGATTGAGTATCGGTAAAGGAAAAGAAGAGTTAAATAAGATAAATGAAGAGCAGAGAGGGGAAGGAGCCTGTAAACAAGGAAATTAAATGAAAAAATAAAATAGAAAAGGGAAAAGGGCAAAAGACGGACCATGTGGGTAAATAGTTTTGTGCTGGACGTATTATTTTCTCATTGATTTAACAGTGGCTAATATCTGATGTGTCTTTATCTGATACTGTGTTTTTTTTTATTATTATATTATAACGTTGATAACATGATATTATAAGTTTGAAAATCTCTGTATATTTATGTTCTGGTGTATACAGACGAGATGTGTTGTAAAAAGTGTTACATGAGCTTGTGGTCTCATTTGATTCAGTGTAGAGGTGTTAAAAACAAACCATGACGAACGGACTAAAGATGAAAAAGGGAAATACCAAGACAACAGCTGCAGCAGGTCCAACAAATGCATAAAGAAGACCTCCTTCCAGAGACAGCCAGCAGCTACGAGAGAGGAGCAGGGAAATACAGGTGTATGAAGAGGAGGGGGGAGGACCGTGGAGGAATGTAAAGAGGAAGTATAGAATGAGGTGAAAGGTAGAGAACCATATGCATGACATAAATGGGGGATGGTAAAAGATAGATGAGACAAGAAAGAGAGGTTAATCATTCTGTGAAACCCCGACCATAAGTAATATCCCTGCATTAATACTTAAAGAGAAGGAGGAACAAAATGGCAGATTTATCGAAATGCACGCTTACTAGCTTGGCGTTCCATATCCCTTTGCCTTTGTGAATCCAACTGAGATCGCCACTACCAATGCAGGGAGACCTGGGGGGAGAATAAAAATGGACCTCAACGCAGGGCAAACAAGAGAGAGCATATCTGAGCAACACAGCCAACAGCACACAGAACGCTCACCCCAGCCGAGACACAGGAATCGCTTCCGTATGATGCGATTCCTGAGGCGACCCGTCACCGCCATGTACGACTGCCACGCCTCTGTCAGAACCCAGCAGAACGAGGACAGGAAGAAGAAATGAAGGAAGGCAGCTATAAGGGTGCATAAGACCTGAAACAACAGAGGAAGAGAGGAAGGGAACAACTTTACTGACGATATAATCAGGAAAAGTGCATCACTGTGGTGAAACATCCAAGTTTGTAGCTGCTTTCAGACATGCGCTGAACTACGGAGATCCTCCAAACATTCCTCAGACGGGCTGCATGTGTGAATGCATTTGTCCGAGTGAGAGCCTCCAGAATTTCTGCTGACTTTCTACGTCGAGTCCACTGCAAAAAGTCCACAGAGAGTCTGGAGGAGCGGATGAGAGAACACAGCAGGAGATCCTCCGCAGGATTCACCGCAAGCGAGTGGGTGTGTTGATGATATTTCTAACAGGCAGCAGACGCAAAAAAGAAGAAAACAAAAAAGCGTGGCCGTACACGTAAAAAAAGACACCGACTAAGATGTCAAGAGAGCTTTTAGTGATTAGAGCCGACGCCTGCATCGATGAGCTGACCCAATTCTCCGGACATGCTCCTGAGGTCATGCCTGATAACAGCTTCTGACTGGTTCTTACCTTATTCCGCGTCTGCGTCTGTCCGATGAGAATAAGGGCATTGGAGGATATGATGGAGAGGCAGAAGTTAATGAGTATGACTGAGCGCTCAGACCGAATGTACCTGCAGGAAAACAAAACACAAGAGAGAACACTTACTGTGACTGAATATAACAGAGCTCAGAAGACTAAAGCTTTCACTTAAAAGCTTTTTTCTGTGTGAGATCAATGAAAAACAAAGTGTTTTATGTTTTAACATGTATTTTTCAACATTATATTTACATTTCAGGCTAAATTGGGCAGCTATCATTCAACTGAGGCACAAACACTGGTCTGATAATCACACTGAACTGTTGTGCTTCCAGCCTGTCTGTGTGTCCCTGTTAGCCAATTTTTAGCTGCATGTTTCCAGCTGTAATGATGCTCGAAATAGGAGAGCCTGTCCTCACATTGTTCACTCTGGCCTTTCTTTCACATTAAAAAATGTCATTTTTCAATTGGAAAGAGCAACATTCTGCATCTACCTCTCTTTTCTTGAAAGTCACGCGCATGCTCAGTGATGTAACAGGTACATGTGTGTTGTCTTCACCCTGACCAAGACCTGACCTACCCTACCCTGACCTGATAGGCTTACAGCCCCACCACCCTGTAAGACATCCTACATTTTTATATTTCCTTTTATCGCTAAAAGATTTAATTGTTGTCATGACTTTTTCAAAAATGTTAATGGAATGTGTACAGCCTAGAGGGCCGAGGTTCCCCACAGGTTCCCCACATCTCCACTTATTTTTTATTGTTTGCTCAACTGTTTTGCTGATGTAGAACATAATGTATATACAGTATGTATGTATACGTAGATGTTTTGTTTTGCACTTTCCAAGGAAAAATAAATCAGTTCCCAGTTTGTAAAATGTATGTTGCTTTACACAACATTGTTTTTCAACTGTATCACAACCAAATAGAACTAAAACTACTCATTTCAGATTCACACAAAGTGTCCACACGAATGAGTAGCCTTCACAAAGTTTTCATTGTTCAGAATTAAATCTGCAATGCAGAGGAAAACAAAATCATTTATCGTTTGTGATGAGCAAACAAAGAGGATTTGTTTGATTTAAGTGTGTTCTCAACAGTTAAACTACTTCAGCAGCGGAGAAATTGTTTTGTATTGAAGCTTCTTGTCTTCTTGGAACACAATAATTATTGTGCTCATAATGTTCTATTGTCCATTTTTACTTTCTGTCTGTCAATAAATTATGATGGTAAAGTCTTTCTTTCCACACAGCGTGAAGCAGGCTGTATCGCCTCACCTCCAGACAGACACATAGATGATGATGAGCAGCAACAACGTGAGCGATGACACTCCACAGCCCACAATCAGCGTCACAGACGGGAGGTGTGTCTTGTCCATGTTCTGAAAAACACAGAGAGAGCACAAAGGATAAAAAAGTTTTCAGAGGTTACACGTCCAGATAATGACACAATCAAGATTCGTTGGCTGATCAGATTTGATAATGTCCTCAACTAACTGCACACAGAGAGCAACATTTCCATATGTGCATTTTAAAATAAATTAGAAAATGATCACAACAAAACAAAGTCAGAGAGCAACAATGTCAGAGTCTCACAGATCCATGGTGTTTGACATGAGCTGTAAACAGATGAATGCAATGGCAGTAAAAGTCCCCGGTGTTTGCTGAGGGCTCATCTCCTAACTGGGTCATTGGTGCAGTGAACTATTTGTTTCCATGACACCACTTTAGTCTCTAAAGCAGTTTGCATTGGGTCTGGACTTTCTGCAGAGGTTACATTTCACACAGGAGATTCTCAGCTCAGGTGCATTTACAACATCACAGAAATGTCCAGAGCAGCAGGTGAGGGGTCGTGCAGCAGGCAGAGGCAGGATGTAACGTATAAATTATTTTTTGTTTACATCACATCGACACTGGGATCGGCCCTTATCACCAAAACATTTCTTGACATATTCTCAGGTGTCTTCTACACCACTTTTTCCTCCTGCGGAGGATCTCCTGCTATTTTCCCCAGACTTTCTGCAGACTTGATAATACAGAAACTGTGGAGGCTCTCACTCTAACTGACATTTGCACTCACACATAAAGCCCCTCCGGAGAATATCCAGCTGGGGATCCCCTGCTGTGTTCACACATCAACTTCTCCTGGATTTCTACGGACTTTATACTCTGAGGCCAGGCAGAGAAAGTCTATTGAAAGTAAGAGGCGTCTCAATTGGACATTTGCGCTCACACATGCACCTCCTCTGGAAAGAATATGGAGGAACAGCACAGTCCAGTGAATGGCTGAAAGCAGCTTAAGGTCCTTCATGCCCATGCAGTCTGTGTCTAAATATCTTAGTGTAGGTGCCTTGCCTTAGAAGAGCACATCAAGTGAAATTCTCAGAAATTCTTTTTTAGTTATTTTTTTAAATCAAATATAATATTATGCTGATTAAAGTTGACGGAAGAAGAGCAGGGATGGTGCCTCAGAAAGACACATTTCCTGGGGTTAAATGCAAATTTGTATAGAGTGTTTCTGATGTGATGCCACTATACCATCAGCACGACTTTGCCTTGTCCAGACCAGTTTGTGTACGGCTGTGCCTAAGGCTGTTAACTGACATCAACTGAAACAAGTTGAACATAACCTCCTCTCTCTGTGGGTGTTGCAGCTCTACAATGATCACACAATACAGCTTTATCTGCCCCATTAAAACGTTTTTTAGGATTTGTTGAAAAAAAATGATTCATGCTGCCTTTTTTCTTTGGAGAAGAGTTGCAATAGTTTTAGTTTCTTAGTTATGTGTCAAAGTTTGTGAGTGTGTGTGTCGAACACGAGTAGACTGGGATGGTTACTGCACCAGGCTGTTATTATATTAACCACTGGAGACTGCGATGCATATAGTATGTATCATGAAAGCTTTTTTTTAAACTGTTGATAAAACATCAGCATGAACTATTCACATATAATATTAGAAGTTTATAATATTAATTTTCTAAGGAGAACCTGATGCAGCAGAGTCTGTGTGCTTTATCGTTGCAGACATATACAATATGCCTAAACACATATAGTACCATTATTGGAAATACATTTATGTATTTTCTCATAAATGTTGTAAATATTGTTATCTATTGCACTACTCTCTGTCCTAGAAGAGGGATGCCTAACCTGCGACCAGGTAGGGGTCTTGTTGAGGGTCAAGGGCAGAGGATGTCGCACCTTGTTAGGCCCTATGAGTGAAATGGTGATCGGCTATACAAATACAATCTGAATGATTGATTTAGTATTATTGTTCTTGCTGACACCCAGGCACAATGAGAGCAACAATGGAGTTTATAACCAGATGTAAGTCCACGTCATAACATGCTGTTTTTTTGTATTTAGCCAGTCTGAGATCCTAAGTTAATACCAGGTGGAGAAAAGTCATAGAAGTCATGTGTCTGCCTGTAACTTAACACCAGCATGAAAGAACTGTGATTCACTGGCCTGTCTGCTCTCTTTCCAATGTGCTGCACATCCGACCACAGCCAGCATCACTGATAATGTGTGGGGGGGGTTTAGTCAGAGGCGCGATCAGTTGCACCTGTTACCAGACTCAGCAGTGACATCATGGTGAACTGATACCTGACTCCTTCCAGTGCACGTCTATGTCCCTGCAGCAAAGTGAGCAGTAACCCGAGAGCAATTGAGCCTTAGAAAAATGTCCAGAACACATGATTAACAGTGTGAGGAAAGCTGTCTCTGCAGACAAAGAGCCGTTCAGCAAGCATAATACAGACTTGTTGCTCATAATGTGTCATCGTAGACATGAGCATCTCACAATTCAACTTGAGAGACTGATGGTTTGACATGAAAATCACAGATAGATGATTGGAGACATGGGTCGCCCCAGCTGTCTAGACATCAAGCGTCTAGAAGGGTGATTGTTGTCAGTGTGTGTGTTAGAAAGAGTGTAAAGGTCAGCAGGTCAGCAGGACGAATCCATACACACACCAGAGGATGCACAGCACAAGCTGGGAACAAATTCACTCGGGTAGCTTTCAGTAGAGAAAGATGCTAAGAATAAAATTACGTGGAGAACACACAGACACACACACACACACACACACACATATCTGGAATGAAATGTCGACATTGACAGCCTGGCTGTTTTCTGTACTCCGTTGTGAAGCAAGGTGACTTCAAGGTGATTCATGAATAAACCACAATACCTCAGCTCGGTGTAAACACACACACACATATGCACATATACACAAACACACACTTGCTGACGTGTGCCGAGTCAATTTCCTGACATGAACATGCACATGATATAAGATGGACTTGCTTTCCCATCCTGACAAGTGACAGCTAAACACCCATACATGCAGCAGCAGACATTGTCTTGGTTGCCATGGCAACACTGTATTAGGGCATCAGCAGCTGCAGCAGGGAGCACAGCTGTGTATGTGATATTTCAGTTTGCCAGTACTGATCTTTAAATACAGGCAAAATAATAAAACATACAATTGAGTTGAGTTTCGTTTACAAGACACACATGAATACATTCACGTGAACTTTTAAATATCACCTTTTATCCTAATAGAATCTCATAGAGCTTGGCAGAAGAGATTAAAAAAAAACCCCTGCAGATCTTATCAAGATACACTTTCTGGAAGTTTAAGTAACATAGTTGTCAACAATATAAAAGGAGGTGACACAATGAGGAAACCATTCTGTGAGCATACTGGAGAGTTTTGACAAAGTGTGTGACCTTGATTGTCTGACATTACTTCTCATAGAACCATTGATACAAAAAACATGAGAATCATGGCATGAGAAGATAGAGGCCCCTCATTCTGCACAGCACAACAGAGCTGTTGCAACAGAAACCATCACACAAGACTGACAAGGCGAAGGATTCGAGCTCGACAGTGACCTCAAAAAACAGCCAGATTGATACAGAACTACCATAACCCCGGTCACAAGAACAGGAAGCTCTGCAACATGGCCCTCACAGAGATCAGATCTAAACATGACACAGTCAGTGTGAGATCACATGAAGAGACAATGAGACACGCTGGATCCACAGAAGAACAGTGGCAAGTTCAACAAGATGCTTGGAAAAAACCTCTGTACCTGACCAGTGCGATAAAAAACTGTGTGCAGGTGCAACAAGAAGGATTATTGCTTTTTAAAACCAAAATTGGTGTGTTCACCAAAAACTGATACGATTCAGATTTCCTCTGTTACACTTAACTCCTTAAGGATCACTATGTGCACAGTGGGAATTTCCAAACCGTTCACAGCTCATACAAAGCTGTGTGTGAAAACGCATTGTTTGATTTCTTATGCTTTTCTTACGTTCTTACTATATTTTCAAGATTTCTTGTTCTACATGTTCTCTCCATTAATACATATATAAAATGCGTTCTAAATTCTAGAGGGCCAGACAGGACAATGGAGTGCATATGCACATAATAGTGTCATTATAGAATCCTTAAATCACGTCTGTATTTGCAGCCAAAATGACCTGTTTCCATGTGGACTCTGAATATTATACCTGTCCAGAACACTGGCTTATGTACTGTATGTAGAAATTCAGTTCAATTGGTTTCTATCTATAAATGGTTTCACCTGCAGAAAGGAACTGGATTAATGCATCTGTCAATAAAACCTATCCGTCTGTGATGGTGCATTTTTATTGTAGGCTGATTCCAATAAATGGCCCATAGGTCTGCCATTTTTGGTCAAAGGTAGATTCTCATTGGTTTCTTGTGCTCCCGGTACTAAACATTATTGGTGACACTAACTCTTTTTATCCTGTGCAGCAGATCAGAAAAGCCATTAATTACTGAAGACTGTATTGTATGTTACCACACATGTATAGCTAATATATCATACAGCATGTGTCTAATGTGTCATGCCACTCAAAACTCGAAGACTGACCATAATAACACATCAAAAAAAATTCTTGGAAGCCATTCACCTGCCTGGTTACATGTTTCTGTAACAAAGTAAAACCAGACAGTCCTCACCTCAGGGGAATGCAGCATAGAAACAATCTTTGCCTCATGTCTCCACCAAATAATAGAACAAATTGAAGAAAACAAATAATAGAGCTGTGAGAAAAGTTTCTTTGACATTTAGACATGCATCGTATGGTGCAGCACTAACTTTCCTGCCATGGTAACAGGGCAGGGAATAAGGAACTAACGTCCACTCACTGGTAAAAAAAAAAATTAGCCTGTATTTTTAACTTATACTCTGCTTTACTAACAAGTGTGATGCAACACAAAATGGACAAAATCCTCACCTCATGCTAACATGTTCACAATAAGCCCTAATGTTGATGTTTCGCATGTAAATGATTTATAAATTACCCAATACTTAATGTGGCCAAACACAACCATTCATCCA